ATATGTTGCAACTAATTTTAGCTTATGTTGCAACATTTTGTAAATTTGAAATCAATTGCTGTACCATCTTTATGCTAGACCTTGCTTCCTTTGTTTAATAATCCACTTATACAACTTTTTTTCAGCTTCAGGATAAAAAGCTTTTCGATCAGAACCAATTCGCCTACTATTTTGGTTTATTACATTTACCTAACTGGAACTTGCCTTCACCTAACGTCCAACCATAGTGGCATTAAGTCCAAAATGGCGTGCTGCTTTATTTCTTCCAAGTTGCTTAGCATAATCAGCAACTTCTTTTTTTTGTTTAATGGAATAAGATTTACGGTTATATTTTATAGTTTGGTTAAGATTGTTTCGGTTAGTTTTTTTATGGTTAATTTTTGTGGTTTTGGAATTTTTTCTTGGCATTATTTCGTTTAATATGTAACAGGTTTAAAACAGGTTCGCATAAAGTTCACATTACTAAAGTCATATTATTTAAAGTACGTTTAACAATAGACGATCATTTTGATCAATTTAGATCAATTTATAATGCGGCTTCAGAGAGATAATTTATTTAAAAAAAATCACCTGAAATTAGGCACCCATTAAAGATGAGGGACGAAACTCAAAAAAGGCAATTAATAAACAGCCGAAACTATATTAAAACATAGTGAGGGTACGACGAAACCCCGAAACCCGAAATTAGCCAAAACTATATTAAAAACATAGTAAGGGATATGACGAAATTATTTTGAGGGAATTTCGGCTGGCATCTTTAGCACCCATATAGCAAAAAGGGTGCTTATTTTCAGGAGTATACAGTATATTGTATTCTTCAATAGATCCACCTCAGATGAACTAGCCTGTATTCTTCACCTATATGCCAATGATTGGCATAGCATATATATAGATGTTGATAACTATTTGTGTAATCAGAACTTCATTATCTTCGATTTGACAGTACCCCGAAATCATCTTCACCAGATACGAAAAAGATGGGATTAAATTTTTGAAAAAAATGATATTGAATCTTGATCATTGATTATGCGAATATGAGGTCAAAATGTATATTTTTTCCAGATTTCTAGATCATGTTCAGATTCATTACGCCTCTTTGCCTATAATTTCCTTTCATAAGTGCTAGAATATATTTCCAGTTCTATAGTCACACCATTATGCTTCATTTTGAAAAGAATCTGATCAACAAGAGCAATAATTTTTCTATTTTTAACAGAAATAATATCCTCCAGATTCCGGCATCTATTCTCTAATAGGTCAATAGACTTTTCAGCAGATGCAATGGATTTTCTTGTATCAGGAATTATACTCTTAAAAAAAGCTACTGAATCTGATAATTGGATAACTTTCCTGCCACTCTCCTCTAAAGACCTGGTCATGACTACCTCACAAGACTTATACTACTCTTGCAAATCGAAAAGCTCTTTAATCTTTTTTTTCAATACCTGCTTTGATATACAATTCCTCATTTTCTTGCCTTAACGAAGTTTTACAGTTGCTAGTAATAGGCTCAGTCCCCTTTATCTTCTGATGCTCCTTTTTCTTAATATAATTTTCAACTGCTTTATTTACAAATCTTTCACTTCAGGGTGAATACTACTTGCCTATTCTAGCGATAACAGATATTTTCGAAATGTAAGGCGTCGTCATATATCTATTTTGATAGATCGAGGAAGCTGGTTAAGTTGCTTTGAATAATATATGTGGAAAGATGGTGTTAGTATGCCAGTCATTTCTTATAAATAATAAAAAAATTCTGAGAATTTAAGAATTCTACACATTCAGGAAATTCAAAGAATTCTGAGAAATTTACGCGTCCAATATCACAGATTGCGTCACATCAGATAGGGATCTGCTAGAAATCTCCGCATTACGATTGGCAAAATATTCACATAATTTTGGCAGGGATGCCCCAGTTGAAATTTGCCAAGAATGCATAATCACGTCTTTCGTGATACAGATAATAAGTTTTTAACCATTTCATTTTGCAATTACTTATCTTCCAATTTCGCAATTCTGGTCTTAAGTTCAGCATTCCTGGCTTTAATCTCAGCAAACTTCTTTCTAAGTTCGGCATTTTTGACCTCAAGCCTGGCAATGCATATTTTCAATAAATCGATCTCATCTATTTCAGATTGCATGCTAGTGTAATGTAGTATTATTTATGCTTTATATTCAAAAATAAAAATCACATATTTTTCCTTACGACCCATCAGTAAAAAAATGCCAAGAAAATTTTATTATCTGATGCATATCCCACACGAAAAAAAAATACAGATGAATATGTAAAAAATAATTGGCCACTAGGGCACTTTATTGAAACAGTAATATACACAACAATTAGATTATTTTTTTTCGAATTTCATAGACTTTCTTTTTTCATTTTTGGTAGTGATGTTGATCTTGATGAAGAAGATACTGTGGAGCTATTTTCTGTATTACTACTTGAACTAGTTGGAAGCGTGTAATATAGAAGAGATATATTGACGTGCAAAATATTCTATAATTATAAATATGTGTTAATTTTAAGCAAGTAAAATAAAAATTTGAATAAGAACTGCATTTCACATACCCTTATTGTTAATAAAGTTTCAACGAATTTAAATACTGTATCCCCATCTGTTAGCTGTATCGGAATTTTAACTGTATGTAAATTATAGAAATGATGTATCTTATCCATACCTCGAATGAAGATATTTAGATGCATCTCAGTACCGGCAACTTGGATTCCAATAATACCAAATTCATCTTTGTCTAGTTTGCATCCTTTGTGGATCCAATACATTCCATCGTTCATCTCTCTCTAAGTTTTTACTTTATCATTTTCCTTTTTTTGCTCATCACAAATGATATGGGAACTTTCACTATAAATTAATTCATATACCCTTTCATTACAACTAGATGAATATAACATCTGGTTGTTTTCCAATTTCTCTTCAATCTTTGCTGGCTATACTTTGACACTCAGCTGTAGAAATATAATCAGATTTTCCAATTAGAAGATCTTTTAATGATGCTCGAATCATCGGAACTATCACATTAGTCATATATGTTCCTTCACTTTGTGACTTAACTAACTTTGGGCCAAAGGTGGGATTTTTCTAAATATCTCTCCTATAAAAATAATGTTAAACACAATTTTTCATCAAAAGAAATAGCAAATATGATTATTATATTACGCTAAGACTCGTTACTGAATACTCATCAACTTTTATCATGTAAAAGTCTATTTTTGAGACATCTGTAATACTGTCTATGAAATTCAAAACGAAGGAATCACAATTATCTTTGACAAGATCTGGAGTAGTTACTATCATATGCTCCGCCGGATCCTATGGGATCACAATATTAATATAATAAATACTCTTTGCTGAAAGTGGACTATGGCAATACAAAACACTATTTGCTAAATTATTCACCATAAAAAAGTTATATGCCTTTACTTCCAAAATTCTCACCATTTCTGAATCTGCACAAATCACTTGACTAGCAAGTAGAACGCATCATAATAAGTCTGAAGCACTTTTCTTCTTTAAATATTTACGGAAGTAGGGTATTCAAAGCTTTGCTATTTTTAAAATTGGTTTTCAAGACATGCAAGTTCGTCTCAATTTTGTTCTTAGTGAGCAGTTCTTCTTGTTTTAATTCTTTGATATTCTGAAAACTACTTATACCTTCATATGCATTATCAAACTAGCACAGAAGCCTTATATTAGTATTAATGTAGTTAATCTTTTTGATATTAGAATCATATGCACACATTCATCAACATATTTCAAGTAAATTATCAACTATATGTGGCCTGCATACAATTGACAACATACATGAATGCTATATATTTTTTTTCTTCATAAACCATAACTAAGATCCAACCCTGTGTGTTTAAGGAATTAATATGTCTGATTAAACCTGTACCTACATAGCTATAGGCAGGGTTGGGAATTTTGTATGTACTAGATAAAATTACCACTGTACTTGTACTAATTTTTATATTAATTATTATAATGTACTAACTGTACTAACTGTACTAATCATTGTACTAACACTGTACTTCCCAACCCTGGTTATGGGTACTCACTTAATTTAGTTATAAAATATCATTATGCGCAATCATCATTTGGGATTATAAATCTGATAAATAATAGTAATAATCACTAACCTTCAAGGGAATATCAACGAATTTCAGATATTTTTCTGAAGTCATATCATAATTCTTTTTCACTACTATAATTGCCTGATGAATTATTTCTCTTAACTTATCTTTTGGATACCACATATCATCTTTTATTAGTTAAAAAATGTGGTAATATGATCTAAGGGTGAATTGAGTAAAAAATTATAAATATTTTCATATAATGCGAAAGAAGACATAATGACGAAAAAATATAGTATTAGAATTTCGCTGAAAGAATAATAAGTGACAAATAACTTAAATTCTATATACTTGCCTTTTTAAATCTCCATTCACCGTCTTCTCTGAGCCTGAATTCATATTGGGGTCAAGTAGAAAATATGTAAAGACCTTTACGCCAAAATTTTGTGTTAGAGAATAAGGACATGTGGAATATGTATTGAAGTTCTTAACATTTACAAAGGACGTTGGGGACAATGCATATACGAACTTTTTTTCGCCCGACCGCTCAGTAATAAAGACCTAGTAACATTATATAAATATACTCCAGTCGAAATCTAGTAGAAATAGGTTGTAGGAATAACCTGTATCTCTGAAGGAAATAAACTCATAAATAAATGCTATTCAGATAGATAGGGAAAAAAATTCAAAATATTTTGGGGAACGATTTCTTATGTATGAAAATTAATTTGTCACACAATCAGTCACACAGAGTTACAGATGATTTGTGGAGTATCATCTATTACATCATATATACTGTAACGAGGATCTGATAACGTGCTAATTTATGTCATACATGCCTACATGTATTGTGGCGGAGTGAAAGTAATATAATCATAAATTTAGTTACAGTGTAGTAAAATGATTTTTTGAGTACTCTTCATAATAAGTAATAGTAGATAGCAATTTAAACAGAAACTTTTGTGAGAATTCAACACTCCCGTATTCTATATTATTTAATCGTCGTCTTAACTGATATTTCTTAACTTCTATCTATCTACTAGAAGAACAATAAATATACTCCTCATATGGTGGGGTTAATTTGACTGGATTAATTATTCCAATATATTTTGAGTAACTTTTTCTAAATAAAGCATAAAACTCATTGCAAGCTATAGTATATTCTTCCTACGTCTCAGGATTAATAACCATCTGTTCTTTTCTAAGTATACCTAAGAATTTATTTCTATCAAGAGTACCGTCATTTCTCACCGCCTCCCAAACTTGTTTTGCTGAAGATTCAGGTCTCTTCTTATAATTCCTATAAGCTCGCTGGATAACTGTTGCATAGAAATTTTCAAGCTATAATGATAGTAGTATTTAGGAATCAAGAATCCCCAAGATCTCTTCATTGATCTTCCTGAACTTCTTGAAAAATACTTTATTAAAATAGTTATAGATTAGAGGATCTAACCCAGAATAGGTAGATCATACATAGCATCTTTGGCCAATTTTTATCTCGCAGGTGATACATTTCACAAGTTTACTAGGTGATTATACATGCAGATTATATAGTTATTATTTTGCAAAAAAAAATAAAGTATAAGTTATGCATCATGTCTTTGGTTAAATATAGTTGAGATGTTAGCATTGCTAACCAGTTGAAAGATATTAAGTCTATCTCCTTGCATTTTTTCGCATAGAAGCCCAGTACTCATCAACATCAATGAAGCTAGGTGCACTTGCACTATGTTGTATGGAGGATCTCAAGAGACCGCCCATTAATGCAACAGGCTTTCATGGTAATGGAGGAGGAGTCAATGAACGTGACTCATTCATCCAATAGTTCCCCAATGGAGAACAGTATCTCTGGTATTGGATAGGCTTTTTCGGAAAAGGAGAAGAGGTTAAGAAAGTATTATTCATACAGATATTTTTTTGCTGGTTACAAATATAGTGAGGCTTGCTAAGTACAGTGTTTACATTACTTTGCACCTTATGTTCCGTGTCTCTCAACTGTTTTTGTCTGATACATCGAATTCTGCTTGATACATTCTCCAACCATATCTCATATCGATGGATTGCCTTCTTTGTGAAATAGCAAGGTGGAGGATTACCTTTCAGCTTCATGTAGTCTTTGAAGCTCATATCACAATATTCATTTCCGTTGCAATTTGTACGCCAATGCTTATCCATAAAGAATGCATGGAAATACTCATACCCGCTTCCCAATTTGGAATAGACGAGCTGATTGCAAGAATAGCATATTCCTATATTTACTCCGAACCAAATATCACACGTATATAAATATTTTGGTTTTCTGGCGATAAGATATCTCTTATTAGGATCAGTCAAAAGATGATTTTTTCTATAACTCATTAATGTGTCCCAGATTCGCTTCTTCCAATCGGATGGAGTCTCATTCCCACGCACCTTAGGAATATCATAGTTAACATATGAATCAGTTTGACTTAAATGTTTATAGGGATCAGAATATACCATATTTAATGATTTTAGCGATTAAGAGATTTATAGTGTGTTTATAGCAATTTTATAGACTTATAGCGATTCTTTATCAAGTTATACTATAATAATATAGGATTCAAATTTATACGGATTTGGTTTGGGAGTTAGATCATGCGTATTTACAATCGGGTTTGTGGCACTGATGACAGATATAGTATTCCGAATTTAATCCCGGAGTGTTCGATCCCTTATATTTGTGATTTTTTTGCATGACTAAATCCGTTTATACTGACCACTTATGCGCAGATCGAAGATAACAATCATATTTTTTAGTCAAGCTTGATGACGTAGATTTCTATTATATGCTTTATAGCTTTATCAGTAGTTTTCTCGCTTTCTGTAATGGAGATGTATTCACTGGGAGCTGGTTACGCATGATTTTAATTTCTATTCTTTTTACAGATTGAATGTGCCAGGTATTAAGTGTTACAATTTATGTATGTTAACCGTAGTACGGTACAGTTTGGTTGCTTAACAAAGCTATTTTATTCGATGATACACAGCTTACATAATACGCACTATAGAGTTTTTTTATTGATGCATAACACCCTCTTTGACTTTTTCTTTTAATTCCTTTGTAATTGTTGTTTAGTCATTGTTTACTTCTTTTGTTTCCGGTATCTCTGACATACATCACACTGCATTCACAAATTAACGGAGTTGTGGATGAAACATAAAATAGAAGAAGTTGCCACCAAATTTTGGAAAACACAACTATATATCGTGCTATATAAAAAACTATAATAAACTTAACATTGATTACACAGAATAGAAATGACATTAATATCGCGATATCTCAACCGGCCCATATCTAGTCTATATAGCAATCTTTTTGGGTGAAAATTTAATCCCGTTCTCCAGACGTTTGTGACCATTTTTTAGCGCTTTATAAAATTCCATTGTGTTTTTCCTAGTTCGAGCCTTCCAAGAAAAAATTACTTTCACGGCCACTACCAATTTTGAGAATCCTTCTACAGTCCTCGGGATTTCTATATCTTGCAAATCCATTGTGATAATAGTATTTTCGAATAAATACTTTGACACAGAAATCGTGAGTCGAAGCCCATTGGACTGAATGCTGTAAGTCTCTATTTTTATGATGTTAGCTTTGGCCTCCGAAGGTAATGCAAAAAACAAGGTTGTGAGTATCACTTTTGTGCAATACTCTAGTTTTTTGAGGTCACCTTTCCTTTTGCCACGGGTGTTTAGGACGCCATCTTCTTGAGCAAGAATCTCGGTGCCTAAAGACTTTAGGAGTCCCTTACCATCCAATCTTGGAGCACTGCGACCACCAATATTCAAGATCTCTTTTAATTTGTTATATGAATTGGAAGCCAATTCTCCGCAACTTAATTTTATATCGTCCTTTCCGAGAAACGCATTTCTAAGTAACGGAGTCCAGACATACATATTTAACTCGCTTTCAGACATAGACTGTAGGAGAATGTCATTCTTGTATAATAAGAAAAAATGATCGAAAAGGGCCCGCACAAAAATCAGGTCATTTGATGCGACAGACATATCGATCGGATTTTCATTCAGAACCTTTGCCAAAGACCCCAAATCATCCACGTCATAAAATTTATCCAAGAATTGTATCACCACCTCTTCACAATCAACCACAAACTTAGAAATGCTTCGCCCATTAGCAAAGTTAACGGCTTCAATTTCAGGGTCTTGTAGCTGATCGGCGACAAAATGTTTAAAGTCATCGGGTAAAAATTTTGTGCAGTCAGAGTTATGGATGTTGATGACACCTATACAGAGAGGACTTTTTTTTGTGGTTTTCATATTCAAGCGAGCAGAATCTAACACATCCACGTTATTATATATTAATTTCTTGCCCGCCAAGACATTCATCTGATATGTTCCTAAAGCTTCTGATGCAATGTCACGGTTGATATATTTCGATGTTTGTTTCTCTTCCTTCTCTACTTCTTTTGCCAACGCCAAAGACGAATCCGCTTTGGTAGTATTTGTATAAGATTGTTGCGAAAGAAAAGTCTCAGAGGGCTCTTCATCACTATACGTTATATCGCTGTCAGTTTCTTCCATTTCCGTTCCACTAGTGGTTCTGATCTGCGAATGCATCTGAAAGGTGAGATGATATTTTTGTGAGCTATACATTAAGACAATGGAAAATACAACTACCTTATCCTCAGGAGTTCGTGGCTCACGTTGTCGAAGATTGGGAGGAGAAGTGACAATGGGAGAGGCTTCCTCAGCTGGCCGTTTCCTTGTTAGATGTTCTTCAAGTGTAGTTCGTACGACTTGATCTCGTACTAACGAATTTTTAGAATTTCGTTACACTGCTCTTCCTGTAATAAAAGCAAAGAAATAAATTCCTTGATTCTGTATGTCCTCGTCAAAAGAACAAGGCTAAAGATAGCATACCACAAGGGCATTGCGTTCAGCAATGTGTTTTTGGATAATCTCGTCATTCTGGTTTGATTGTTTTACATCCATAGTCCAGTACTAGCAAAAAAGGGGAAAATATAGAATTAGTTATAACTCTCAAAATTAATAAAAGTTGAGGGGAGGTGTCGAACTTTGCGTTCATGACCGGTCGACCTTGCGTGTCCCAGCTAGCCACCGAAGGCAAATCAAGGTAGGCACGAACCTTGCGTTCATAACCAGTCGACCTTGTGTGTCCCAGCTTGACCATACCTTGATTATCGAGATAAGCACGAACCTAGCGTTCATAACCAGTCGACCTTGCGTGTCCCAGCTTGGCCATATCTCGATTGCCTTCTTTAGCCTCATAAAAAAGAGACTTTATCCCCCTCAACCTCACTATCGGCATTACAAACTCACAAACATACTTTCCAGTTATCAATTATATACTGCGCTGTTTTTCTGCGCGAGTCATCAGAGTCAGTTTCTTTAATTCGTTTGAACTCTATATTGATATCGTAAAGAACTTTTTTAAGGGGCTCGTGTTGCGAAATATACTCCCGGTAGTATTTAACAACGTTTTCACACGACCACTTAGAAGGATTTGTGTTATTAAAGAAATCGTTAAAAATTGGTGTTGACATGTTGACAAATTTTTTTATTTACAATAGATAGATCAATTTTAATCATCAATCATATCGATCTGGGGGGTGAGATTGGACCAGCATAGCGGAAATGCTTATATCACATGTCGATCATTTTGCCGATCATATATAACTGAATTATCACATTATATAAAATCAGCTGATCTAGACT